ACAACAAAGCTGAGTTTCCCATTAGCAGCATGAGCGCGACGATCTTGGCCAATGAGGCCATCGTCGTAATAGCCCAAATTTAACGAGGGATCAAGTCTTTGAGCACGACTAAAGAGCAAAATGGGATTACAAACGAAAGTAATTTCATTTTATTAATTGGGAACGACCCGATTACAATATACGGCAATAAAACCGCTACCAACCCACCACCACGGCGGCGAGAGCCACGGTCGCTTGGGCAGGACTCCCGACCGAGCTTCCACGGCACACAGATAGGCACAGTGAGGGTAGGGTCGGCCCTGCCTCACCGGTGCCTGGGTCCCCGCTTCACTCGTGAAAAGCTTGGCCACTTTTACAAGGGAATGTCTAGATTGAATGGACCACAAAAGGAGAAAGAATTGACACCAGCAACACTAATGATGGGTATGGTAATTTATCTACTTTAAGTATTTCAAGCTCCATGTTAGTGGATTGATACAGGTGCTAATGTTCACGTTTGAGCTAATATCTCTATATTCTTTTCTACCAGGTCTCCCATTGTGGGGGTATGGCCCCCGGTATTCGGAAGACAAGACATGGGCCACACCATCAGAGGTGGCCCAGCCTACAAGATCGAGGCGTGCACGGCACTGTTTGACGTGCACCGCAAGATATTATATAGTACCAAATAGGATACTTTCCTTGTAACCCTACCCCTCCAGAGTATATAAGGAGAGGCAGGGGTCCTCTAGTGGACAGATCGATACATCTCATATTTAATATAATACACCAAAGACACAGGACGTAGGGTATTACGTCGATCAGATGGCCCGAGCCTGTCTAAATCGCTGTCTCTACGCCTTGTGTCACCATCCGGTTCCTGATCACGCGCACCTCCACCGATCAATCTACCATCGCGGGATACCCCTCGGTGGACTGTCGAGCATCTTTTGTCGATAGTTGGCGCGCCAGGTAGGGGTGTGCGCTTGATCCATGACAGGCCAGATGGGATCTCAAGACTTACGTCCTGGCGAGATCAACTTTCATCTTGCCTGCGACGTCTACACGAAGATTTGCTGCCGAACTCAAGTCGCCGTGCGAAGACTAACAGCCCAGATTGAAAACTCGCCGCCCACCGAGTGCTCGCCGTCAACGCCGTCCAGATAACGCCATACATCGCCGATTAGACTTTCTGTCTAAAGCTAAGTCACGCTTTAATATTCTTCTAAATATTCTCCAATCTCCGTATATGGCCATAATGTTTCTCCGAGCTATTTTCTCCATGTTTGCTCTCCAAACGATTTTTTGAACCCCCGAACAATCATGTTGATGCTCGGACGCCTCCAGAGATGGCCCTGTCTCTGGCTCCTCCCCACACGTGCTACGGCCTCCACGCTCTGCGTTATGGGAGGTCGGCTACGGTCTCTTGGTCACGCCTGTTCCTCCTACACGTGCACGGGCTCCGCGCTCGACGTTATGGTTAACTGGCTAGCTAGCGCTGGAGACTCAGCTACACACTAACTGTTCGGGCAGTTTGTATTAAATATAAATACATCTTCACACCAACTGATCGCCGAGCTACATACGCTATTTCATCGTCATTGCCGATTTTTCTCCGGAGTTCATATATTTTTACATCATGTACTACCCGCTCTACATATTTGTATTGCAGGATCATCGTCCAGGTGATCGGACCACCTGGTGCTCGAACTTCTCCACCAATCAACTGGTCGGATCGCTAGGTTCATGGACTTCGTCGCCGACCAGTTGATCGGACTGTTCGCCGGTCGTTTCTACTCAATCCTCACTTCGCCGCCGACCAGTTGACTAAACTGTTCGTCGCTTGTGCTTCATCGCTAGCTACGCCGAGGGCTCCTCGGTGTTCGGACATCGCCAGATACACCGGGGACTCCTCGATGCTCGAACATCGCCAGCTACGCCGGTTACTCCTCGGCGCCCGGATTCTTCGTGCTCGGGGACTAAGTGGGCACACTTCACCCCACTTCACCTTGCGGACATCGCCAGCTACGCTGGGGACTCCTCGGTGCTTGGACATCGTCAGCTACGCCGGGGACTCCTCGGTGCTTGGACATCGCCAGCTACACCGGGGACTCCACGGTGCTCGGACATCGCCAGCTATGCCGGGATCTCCTCGGTGCTCGGACATCGCCAGCTACGCCGGGGACTACCTCGGTGCTCGGACATCGTTAGCTACGCCGGGGACTCCTCGGTGCTCGGACATCGCCCACTACGCTGGGGACTTCTCAGGACTCGGACATCGCCAGCTACGCCGGGGACTACATCGGTGCTCGGACATCGCCAGCTACGACGGGGACTACCTTGGTGCTCGGACGTCGCCAGCTACGCCGGGGACTCCTCGGTGCTCGGACATCGCCAGCTACGCCGGGGGCTTCTCGGTGGTCGGATCTTGCTACGCCTCATCGGTGTGCTATCAAGCTGCTCCATGCTGTTCGGATCAAGGTGCTGATCTTGGGCAGCACGTCTGGGGTCTTGATACGCGCATGTCAGACGACGTTGGCAAGCTTTCAGACTTCTTTTTCTTTGACCCTGCTACAAGATTCATTCTTCATCTTCCAGCAGGCTCGGGGACTAAGTGGGCACACTTCACCTTGCGGTGAATGTGCGCTTTTCGATTCGGGGCTCCGTCCGTGGACTGGTTGCCTGCTCGGCCGGTCTTCTGTCTTTCTTCTACTTTCTGACCCTGGCACCACGTGACCACGTCACCTACTGTCAGGCTCGGGGACTAGCTGTGGGGGTATGGCCCCCGGTATCCATAAGACAAGACATGGGCCGCACCATCAGAGGTGGCCCAGCCTACAAGATCAAGGTGTGCACGGCACTGTTTGACGTGCACCGCAAGATATTGTATAGTACCAAATAGGATACTTTCCTTGTAACCATACCCCTCTAGAGTATATAAGGAGAGGCAGGGGTCCCCTAGTGGACAGATCTATATATCTCATATTCAATATAATACACCAAAGACACATGACGTAGGGTATTACGTCGATCAGATGGTCCGAACCTGTCTAAATCGCTGTCTCTGCACCTTGTGTCACCATCCGATTCCTGATCACGCGCACCTCCATCGATCAATCTACCATCGCAGGATACCCCTCAGTGGACTGCTGAGCATCTTTTGTCGACACCCATGGTTTGTCCATCTTGACAGGGAATGGGTCATGCCTTTGTTCGTTGTGATGTTGACATATGATAGGTCCAAAGTTTATTTCGAGAAAGATCATGCAAAATGTCCCTTCTTTGAACAAGCAGGATCTTGTGAGTGGATCCCTTCTATGTAGTCGTAGAGACGAATTATGTAGTATTAGAGTAAAATAAATTAGAGGTGTTGAAACATGGATTATTTATTGATAAAGGCTATGAGTGTGGAAGTTTATTGTTTTGCTTTTCCCTATCAGATTTTTGTAATAAGTCAGTAAACCGTATCTATGTCATTGTTCTTGATGATGCGAGTATTTGACACTCTCGTTTATGTCATGTTAACTTTGGTTTAATGCCACGATTCCACTTCGGCATGAGTTTTATATATGGATATAATATTTTTATATGTTTAGTTATACTTAAGACCGTCTCTAATAACCACTAGTAGAGAACAGACCTTTCATCCGATGCTAAAATGGGCTCTAGTCCCGGCATTTTTTGCGCCCGGGACTAGAGAGACCTTTAGTTCCGGTTGGTGTCTCCAACCGGGACTAAAGGTCCCTGCCCAACGGCTACTGCGCTCGGCACAGTGGCAGAGGACCTTTAGTCCCGGTTGGAGCCACCAACCGGGACTAAAAGTCCTCAACCTTTAGTCCCGGTTGGTAACACTAACCGGGACTAAAAGTAGACCCTTTAGTCCCGGTTGGTAACACCAACCCGGACTAAAGGACCATTTAGTCCCGGTTGGTGTTACCTACCGGGACTAAAGGTCCCCCGATGGGTTAGTTCAAAAGGGAAGCATCCCATCCATTGTTAGATGTGTTGTATAGGTGGGGTGGTAAGCTACGCGCGAGGCAATGCATGGGGTCTTGGGTTCGAATCTCACGGGACGCAGCGGTGGGAGGCATTATTTTTTTTTTAAACTGGGAGGACCTTTAGTCCCGGCTGATGTTTCCCACCGGGACTAAAGGTCCCCCTTTAGTCCCGGTTCTTGACCCGGGACTAAAGGACTCCCCTTTAGTCTCGGATGCTTACTCCCGGGTGGGGAACCGGGACTAGAGGGGGTTCCCCACCGGGAGTAAAACTCTGTTCTCTACCAGTGAACGTTACCCAAATGTATTTTGCGGTCTACACAGTGGTTTGGGTAGCCAAATACACGGTCCAATAGAAGACCCAATCAGCAAACCTATTTTGCCTACCACCCGAACGGAAACGCAAATAAGCGTCCTCGATAGAGACGATGCAAATCTTCGGCCGCCGCGGACGCGCTCGCCCTGCGCCTGGACGGGCGTCACCTACGACGACGCCGGCGCGGGCTCGAGCTCCACCGGCCGTGGGCTCCGCCGAGCGCAGGCGCGACCTCTGCCGGCCGCGGGCGTGAGCTCCGCCGAGCGCGGGCTCCGCCGGATCTGGCCGGGAGAGGGGTCGGCCGGGGAAGAAGAAGAAGGGGAGGGAGCGCCGGGGAAGAAGGGGAGGGGCGCCGGTGGGGCTCTGCGTTTGCGTTTGACGGTTGGAGAAGGCAAGTTTTGGGTGCTCTCTCTTCTCACTGTGCGTGACTCAATAACTGGAATGGGTCTCGTGTTTGCCTTCGTGCTGTTGGAGATAGCCTACGATAAGCTGACTTGCGTTGCCAATGTAATATATTCTTTGAGATTTGATAATTGGTATATATGCTTTGAATCTAGAATTACATTCTTTGGAGATAGTACATGCATTGCCAATGCAAGCTTCTATGAGGTTTGCTATATCCTTTGATTTCCTTTTCTATGACGTCCAAGGCCACGATATGATGCACAACATATACAAGGAGGACACTACTCTGATTCTAGCTAGGTGGCCTAGATGGCGCTGAGCTGCCTTATGTTCATGGGGAAGATAAGCGGCGCCGACCCGTCGAACGCGGTGCTGGTGAGCTTCCTGGCGATGGTCTCCGTGGGATGGTAGAAGTCCCAGAAGACGTGGCTGGTCCTGTTGTCGCAGTAGAAGCTCAGCGGAGTGCACCCGATCTTGGCGTTCAAGTCCCCGAGCCCGCAGCAGGCCGCCTTGGCCTCGGTGAACCCGTACGCCGCCGGCTGGTTGATGTACCTGAGCAGCGCTGCGGAGGAGTCGAAGAGCGCGTAGTGCATGTCGGCGTAGCGCGCGGCCATGCCGCTCAGGAGCGACGCCGCGGCGGCGTTGTAGCTCACGGAGATGCCGTTGGCCAGGGCGCTGCAGTCCTTGGTGGGGCTGAGCTCCCGCAGCGACGGGGTGCACCCCACGGGCCCCGTGCCCAGGAACAGCACCTTGCGCGCGCCCAGGCCGTAGAGCCGCTGCAGCTGCCCCGTGAGCGTCTGGATCAACGCGTCGACGAACTGCTGCGACGGGTCGGCGGTTGCGCTGGTGGCGGAGTTGGCTTTGGCGTAGTGGATGATGTCGTTGCTGCCGATGGTGATGGCGAAGAGGGACTTGGCCAGGTGAGCCGTGGCCTGCGCCTGCCCCAGGCTCTGCACCAGCGACGCGTGCACCGACGCGAAGTAGTCGATCTGCTTGTCGAAGCTGATGCATTGGTCCTGCATGCATGCATGCAACATCGATATTATCTTCATGCATCCACTGAGATTCAGTTTGGTGTTTTTATTAGAGAATACTGTCATATATACAGCACATCTTTTCTCTCAAATGCAAATGGCAGTTGGAGATTGGCGCACCTTGTTTGTGGCGTTGGAGACTCCTGCGCCACCGGAAGCAAAGTTGACGCCGTTGGCGTAGTTGGGGTTGCTGCTCGACGACAAGGCCAGGTACGGCGGCGAGGTCGCCAGTCCCAGGTTTTCAGCTGCAAGGATGTCAAATATGACATGTTTTACTAGGCTGATTATTACACACACTGTGCAAACCTCCGATCAGCCATGGATATGCAGCACACATGGCCTAACACAAATATACTTTTTTTATAACTACAAATATGCTTTTGAAAGACTGTTTAATTGTGATCAAAATTTCACGGAACCGTATTGGAACGTGAGGAAAAAAATATGAAAGATGTGCAAACTTAACTCAAATGTGCATATATGTCAACAAAATTTAAGACTTGTTCCCATGATATGAAACACTTTAGCTTTTTAATAAAGAGTAGTCAATGCATGCAACTAGGACAGCTCAGTTCAGCAACTGGATAAGAAAAAAAACAATACAAATCAATTCTAGTAGGAATTTCGTTAACGCAGACACACGCTGGTCTATTCTTTTCTGAATTTATTTGAGCTGCGAAAGAGAAATGCAGAATGATGCCAAATTAATTGGGCTCATTATCTGACTGATGACTGTTGACCACGAGACAATTCTTGTGTCTCTTTATTTCTGAAGTTTAAGAAAGTCATATCAAGCCAAATAAAAAAGGAGAAACAAGAAAAATATGAGGATTTCTCTTGGTCCCAGAGATATCTCATATATATTACTATTGTAGTGCTCGCTAAACAAAATTGTTTTGCAAGAAAAAAGCAATATGTTTGCATTAATTATTTATCCAGATTTAGACTATTGGTGCTCCCTCCGTTTCAAATTATAAGACGTTTTGACTTTCTAGATTCATATGTACTTATGACATCATACCTGAATAGCGTGCTGCCATTGCCTACCGCATTCATACGTACTTGTGCTTAGAGAAAATAAGTTAGATATATTATCTTTTCCACGTAAATATGTCCTGTGCTGACATATATTGGGCGATGCAGTTTGACGAGGTTTAACGGTTTAGTTTAGGCTGACTTTACTAATGACGTTGTGGGAGTGAGAAAGAAGCTGATCGATCAGAAATCCACCAATTCGATATTACGATTGCATATGCGCGCATGCAGATGAATCCGTCAGTATATATCGGAAATTGGGAACAGGCAGCGTAGCACGCACCGAGGAAGTCGACGGAGTTCTTGCCGTTGCTGAAGCGGCCGGTGGCCTTCTTCCCCGGGTAGTCGATGCCGTTGTGCGGGAAGTCCGCCTTGAGCAGCGTCACCAGGTGGTTGTTGTTCCCGACGTCCGCCAGGGAGTCCCCGAACACGTAGATCGCCGGCACCGGCGACGCCGCCGCCGCGACCGCGAGGAGCGAAGCCGCCACCGCTGCCATGAAGGCAACGGCGGCAACAGCCATGGAGCGAGCAGGCAAGGATTTTGTGACAGTATCAGCACGACCCATTGTTACGTACGTCGTCAACGCTAGCTTAATTAGTATGTATGTACTGCACTATGTAGTAGCTGAAGCACACGATCGGTGATGAATGAAGGTGTGTGTTCCGGGGAGGCCAATTTATAGCTAGAGCTGGCCAGGAACTGAAGCGAGGCTACCAAGTGATCGAGCTAGGTAGCTAGGTGTGTACCGGGAGGGAGGGGAGCGGTGGACGTACGTAGTTGTCATGCGTGTGTATCCGTTGTGTGGCGTGTGGAGAAGACGGCTTGGCCATGGCGCGCCGGAGCGGGACAGCAGACGATCGAGCGTGTGGGACGGGGGCATCTGATGCCGATGGGTCCTATCGATCTGTTTGATCTGATTTGCCGTGCGCGCGCCTCTCCTGCGGGGACGTATTCACATCGTCCATATCCAAATGCTTATTGGGCAACAAGCCGGCGTTCCATCGTGTCCAACGGGACGTATAGAATTTCTCAAAATATAAAGAAAAGCCGGAATCGCTACACATGCATGTGTGCCTGAAATATTTCATAAGGTACGTACCTGTTGATCACGCATTGTTCTCGCCCCTATAGTAATAAAATAATATAAAGTTCATTTGGTGCTCAGACTCAGAGGGGAGCGAGGTCTCAGCGTCTCAGGGTTGACCACTCCAGTAAGGCTGCGGATTTCGTCTATCATACATACATTACATACTCCTATATAATTGTCACATTTGTACAGGTTATGAAGAATGTTGTTATAGAGAATGATGACAGGATATGTCTGACTGTCCTTGTCCTTGGCAGAGATCGACCAACTCCAGTAAGGCCCGATTTCATCTATCATATACTCCTATATAAATAACTGTCACATTTTTACAGGTACAGGTTTATGAAGAATGTATGTATAGCAGGATATGTCTGACAGTCCTTGTCCCCGGCACTCCGGCAGATCGACCGACGACGAGCACTGGATGCATGCCTACATCCAGACAGGACCATAAGGTTAGGAAGCATGAAACTGGTTCTGTTCTCACTGATTTCAGGCTTGGACAGATCGTTCGTTCGAGCAGATCGATCATCCCAGTCGGTAGATGGACACAGCCAGATTTTAAATAATAGTGCCAGTGTACGTGCCACCGCTGTTGCTGACTGACTGCTGAGGGAGGTAGGGCATGCCGAAAGGGCGTGGCTAGCGCATGGACATCCGGACGGACACGAGCGTCCGGACGCCTGTCCCCGTCCGTCTTCGCCCCGCCCCACGCGCGCATTTTGCCCCGTCTCTGCGCCCGCCGGTCGCCCCTGACCCCCTTCTCTCGCTCCGCGCGGGCAGCACTCAGGAGCTGGGATGAGCAGCTGAGGACGAGCACGCCCCGACCGCAACACCACCGTCCCCCCCCCCGGCCGTATAGCATAAAACACTCGCAACATAAAAATATTTGAATGAAACATATACATCTGAAAAGTAGATGAAACATTTGGAACACGCACTTGCAACATGTGTGTGAAACACACGAAACATCCAGATTTGCAACTTGCAAGATAAAACCACTTGCCGCAACATAAGACTGAAAACAACTAAGCCCTTGTTTAGTTGGGTGAATTTAGATTTTGGGGCTACTATAGCACGCTCGTTTTTATTTGGCAAATAGTGTTCAAACATAGACTAATTAGGCTCAAAACGTTCGTCTCGCAATTTCCCACCAAACTGTGCAATTAGTTTTTATTTTCGTCTACATTTAATACTCCACGCACGGGCCGCAAACATTCGATGTGGCAGGTACTGTAGCAACTTTTTGGACTTTGGGGTCCAACTAAACACGGCGTAAAACATTTAGAACATACTGTTGTAACATATGTGTGAAATATATGTAATATCCAGATAAAAAAAAAGATTGCAACTTATTCTGGAGATAGATGAAACATTTTTAACAAACATTTGCAACATGCCTTTGAAACACTTGCAACATCCCTAGATCTACTTTTACAACATCAAAGTGAAATAATTGCAACATCCATCTAAAATGTCTTAAACACTTGAAACATACATATACATATGCAACATATGGGAGAAAAGTCCGGGCCAATCGATTTCGGCCACCGTGTGGGAGACGACGGCGAGCTACGGCGCACGAGCACCACCAACACCGCCCATGCTCGTGGGTGCCCTTGGTTCAGCGGGGGAAGACCTGAGGCGCCACAGCACGTTTGGCCCAGCGGCCATGCCAGGGTCAGCAGCGCGCCCAACGGCGAGGGAGTGAGCGACGCAGGTGAGTGACACACGGAGCGAGGGCGCGTGGCGTGACCGGCGATGGGGGGAAGGGCACGGGGTGGGAGCCCGACGAGTGCGCTCTAGAGAAGGGGCGGACGGATGAGCAGCCAAGCCGAGCGACGCAGGTGGCTGCCACGCAGGTGAGCGGCGTAGGCTGTGAGGCCGTGTGGCGCAGCCAGCGACGATGAAAGGAAACGGTGCGGCAGCCCGACAAGCACGCGCTGGAGAAGGGGGTGGAGGAATGAGCAGCCACGCTGCTTTAGGGCCGGACGGATAAGCACGAAGGAGTGGGGTGTAGATTTGGGATGGACATGCAGGAATGGGCATTTGTTTTTTTTATTGTTTGGGGCCGTTCCTCGGCCTGTGCGAGTATTTCCGGCCGAAAACCAGGCGGGATGAAAACGCGCAGAGGGATGGAGACTGCCGAGCTCCCTCCCGCGCACGGTGGATGGTGCGGTGCGCTCTGAATTTTTTACTTTTTGGCCCTTTTTTCGAAAGTTTCTCTCAAATAGACCCCTGGCGGAAAGAATTCCAGAAATGAACCCTTGGCTCGGCGCCAGAGTGAGTGGCGCCGAGCTCGGCGCCACGGTGACTGGCGCCGACCTCCTGGCCACGGGCAAACGGCCTGCAAGGGGCTCGGCGCCAGAGCGGATGGCGCCGAGCTCGGCCTAAATATCTACCCGGCCGGCCTTCTTCCTCCTCTAGTTGCCCTAGCCAGCCCCCGCCGCCGCCGCCGCGCCCACGCCCGCCCGCGCACGACGTCGCCCGCGCCCGCCTGCGCGCGCCACGCCGCGGCACCCGCCCGCCCGCGCCCACCGGCGCCCGCCTCGCCGCGCGCCCGCCTCGCCGTGCCGCGCGCCCGCCTCGCCGCGCCGAGCGCCCGCCTCGCCGCGCGCCCGCCTCGCCGTGCCGCGAGCCCGCAGCGGCCCGCGCCCCCCGCGCCGCGCGCGCCTGCCCGCGCCGCACGCCCGCCGCGCCACTCGCCCGCCCGCGCCCGCCTGCGCCGAGCCCGCGCCGCGCCGGGCTTGTCCGAGCCGCTGTTGCTCCGGCGGCCGAGCCCGTGCCGTTCGCCTCTCCAATCCCCATTTGTTAAGCCCAACATCGATCGGGTTACAAATACCGCGCTGTCTAGCAAACTCACACATCTTTTCTTTGTGATGTTTAACGAATAGGTTGACGTAGTCAGGTCCATATCCCCTCTTCCGTGCAATTACTTGCCTCTTCTTCAGTTCATCCAAGAACTTAGCTTGACCATCATAACATTCCCAACTGCATTTCCTAGTGCTCTGTTCAAAACAAATATTATATCATATATGTATTAGGAAAACAAACAAAATACGATTTCATGTTTACCAGAATTATAACAAACCTCATCATACTCAATCATATGGCCGCAATAATGACCTATTCCAAGCTCCGAAGGGACTAGGCCATAGTTGGATTTTACACCACATTCGCACATGACAGGAGGTGCTTTGTAGATTACACGTTCTTTCTTCTTTTCCTTAACCCTCCGCGGTTCTTCCGGCCATTGGTTCTTAGGACCATACAACCACTCCTTGAAACGACACTTCGCCATTGAATACACCTAAATAATGAGACATAAGTACATAAACACATATAGCTCAAGATTTTAACACATACACTTTGCACTTACTTCATGCTTGTTTGGACACACAAACTCCAACGTATTCTCAGGGTTTATCACAGCTCGATCTCCGCAATCGCACAGAGGAGGTTCCTCGAGTCGTCTAACGGCGGCTAGGTGCTTCTCCTTAGCCGTCATTGCCGGAGGGTTAGGGGGGGTGGAACCCACCGCTTGAAGTGATCACGTGGATGTCTCCCTCTAAACCAATCGTCGAAAAAGAGGTACCTAGGATCAAACTTTTCTGCACCATCGATCCACTGAAAGAAAAAGCACCTCTCATGGGCCTACACAACGAGATTCCAATAATATATTAGTACCATACTTAAACAAATAAAGAAAAAGGATAGTACAAATAATTTCTTACATTAAACCGACTACATGTGTAGAAGCAACGCGAGGCTGTGTCCGGATGTTTCGATTGAAAAACATGGGCCGGAAAACCACAATCACAGTTAGGGACAGGAAGGTCAGGGGGAACAGGGGCATCTTTGCTAGACGCGTCGGGGTATAATTCGCGAGGACGACCACGTTTTCGCCAAAACTCCTCCCGAAACATTTCTTGCATCTAACAAATAGGATGTAATTTAGCAAACATAAATAAAAACATCACAACAAAATATCAGTGAGAACCATAACTACAATACAATCAATTTCGTTATAAGAACCAAAAGCAGTTAACATTATACCCTAAACCTAGGGTTTCTTATTTCATCCACAACAATAAAACCCATAACATAACTACATGCGGCTTGGTTTGCTAGCATTTTTCACGCCTTGAAATGAACCTATAGTTGTATAATACATATATTGAGGGATACAATGAAACCCTAAGTGATGACGATTCTTAGGTTCAAAAATCCGACTAATATATACCGAATCGATGCGAAAAAAACAAGGAGGGGAGCGAGGATACGTTGCTCTCGAAGATCTACGGATCAAATCAAGGTTTTTAAGGTTCAATATGTCGATTCGTGAGGTAGGATGAAGTGGCGAGAAAAAAACCCGAGGAGAAAGAAGAGGAAGAACGCTCAGGGAAGAAGGCTGGGCGGGGGTTAAATGCAGGTAGCTCGGCGCCATAGTGAGTGGCGCCGAGCTCGGCGCCAAGATCTACGGCGCCGAGCTCGGCGCCATTCGCTCTGGCGCCGAGCCCCTTGCAGGCCATTTGCCCGTGGCCAGGAGCTCGGCGCCAGTCACCGTGGCGCCGAGCTCGGCGCCACTCACTCTGGCGCCGAGCCAAGGGTCCATTTCTGAAATTCTTTCCGCCAGAGGTCTATTTAAGATAAACTTTCGGAAAAAGGGTCAAAAAGTAAAAAATTCGGCGGTGCGGTGATCGAAATCAGCGGCCGGCGACTCGCGGGGTCGACACGATGCCGCCCGCCCGCCCGCCCGGAACGAACATGCATGCATGCTGTTTGTGTCCGCCTGTCCGGGTTCGGTAGCGACGGGGCATCTCAAATCTCATCATGTACACCTCTCGCTGGCTATAGCGCACCGGCTGCTCTACAGACTACAGCTAAGCCTGACCCTGGCCAAGCGAGCGACGTGTGTCGTCGGTGTGTGCTGTGTTGCCGTCTGGTGTGTACTTGTGTCACTGTACACCTTTGACGAGGCTTCCAAGCCCAAGCAAAAGCAACGGGATTCGTTTTTTCACATACTGAATGTCACTGGTTGCACATTGCAGTCCTGCAGAAGCTTCGATAATCGATATGCCCTGCCACTGCCAGCACGCTTCCTGCTGTGCATATTTATGTACGACAAGGACCGTGTTGACCTGTAATAAGTAAGTGGACCACCTGTTCCGAAATGACTAGCGTCCGTTCGTTTGGAGCCGTACTTTTTTAACCAACGAATATTATTTTTCTCTCACAATAAATCAATCAATCGTACTTTCAGTCATGACTTATTAGCCAAGCGAACAGAGCGTAGAAGATTTGGGCATTCTTTGGAGTTTGGACCATACAAACGTCAGTCAGTCCATGCATGACTGATCCGATCCGGAGAGAAGTGCGCGCGCACCATTGTACTAGTAGATACTAGATAGATGGTCCATATGCTGCGTGCTGATTTCGTGCAGGATCATCGCGCGGTGCGCTTTCGCGTGGTCCGATCCACCTCCGATGTTCCACGCTACACAAAGGCCCCCCAAAACATCCGTGGACGTTAGTCGTCAAAAGCTGCTTCAGCGATATGATGGGCAGTCAATTATACAAAGAAATGGACGACGGTTAATTGTAAAAATTAAGATACGTGCACCGAGTCTTGTAATGATAATGGGGTACAAGATTCGCTCATAAGAGTTTTTACCAACGAAAAGACAACACTTGGTATCTCGAATTATTATATCTTAATAACAAAGACTAAAATAGGATTTTATTCATCTCTCCAGACTCTCAAAATGTTTTTTATGTCTTCAGACTTCATCTGAATCCCAAACTCTCTAAATATCACTTTTGGGTCCCTAAACATGTCATAGGGTGTCATTTACTTCAAAATGAGGCTCAACATGCTATGGGTTTTGACATGGCAAGTTGCATTAGATCCCCGCTAGTCTTGACGAGTGGATTCCACACGAGGGCAAAGCGGCCTACATGTCTCCTATGGTGTTTCATCTCCGTGCTCTCGTACCCTAATGTCTCTCTCAATGCCACCGACAAGATCTTGTAGCCATGTCCATCCCTATCCCTCCTGCCATCTTCAGCCTTCACCTTGAAGGCCGCCATATATGGAGGTGGTCAAGACGAAGATGGTGCTCTCAAGGTAGAAAAAAAGGCCCCTGGGTTTCTACCCCATCAATAATAATTAAGCATGGATCCGACCATCACCAAGAAGATCTCGCAGCCAAGATCCTCCCTCATCTTTCTTCGTCACAGCATGAGGGGTCTTGTTCTCCCATGTGCTCTACCCTAGCAACCTCTCATAGGGACGTCCATGTTGTCTTTGCCACCTAAGTCCCTACCTAGCCCCAACCGTTGATGTTTTGTAGTGTCAACTTGCAAATTTGTAGTTGTGTGTACCATGATCGTGTTCTTGAGCTCAAAGGTCTGGAGTTTATAATATGTGTTACAAACAGATAGGTTGTGTTGAGGACTGTGGGAGAGTATTCAGACAATCTAATTAAAGAGAGGGAAATAGCCACCCCCTACTATAATTAAAGCCAGGGGGTAGGGTTAAAAAAAATAGAGGAAGGTGCCCTATGTCGGCTAGTCCGGTTGGATCCTTCTGTCGCCATTGTCCACTTTGCGTCGTCATGACTGCCGTACTCGTCTTGGAGCGGAATAGCTAGCATGGCTCCCCATATCAACATATATACGCCATCAGTTCGTGGTATTAGCTAGTGCCCCCATAGTGTCAGGTAACTAATGCATGTTCGTGTCTCCTGTTTTGTACCAGGTGACCACTTTTCCAGGTGTGCAGCACCAATGATGTATGTGGGTAGCACACCCGTTGATTTGCATGTCACATCAGGTTAACTGTTTCGTATGGCAGGCCTTTGACCTTTCGAAGGAAAGACTGGGCAAGTTCCCCACGATACTCGGATGGATCTTAGGGGAGCCCCGAGTTCTATGGGATCGAGATCAAGAGGTCTGCCCAGGTGCCGCTTACCGACTACCGAGGGGTGGGCCCCATTGCCCGAATTCCCACGTCAAATTTCTATACGGTGTAGACATAGAATGTTGGGACGAACTCGGCAGAGTAGGAGGTCATAATACCAAATAGGTGAGGGTATCCCTGATACATGTATTTGTTAACTCAATTATATATGTTCCATCTTCTGTCATTCATTTTATGCCGCTGTGTATGTTCCAAGTGCGGAAATTAAACTAAGTTCCACGTGTATCCATCTCAATCCACATATATTAAAGTGAATTAGAGTGGAAGTTAAACTAAGTTCCATTAATCTAATTAATTCCAACACATGTGCATTGAAGTGGATACGCATGCATCGTAACAAGGGCTTAGTGTATAATTAACCTATTACGTCTGCCCCAGCAGCAGTTTTTTACAACAGTTGTTGACTAAAGGCACAGGATTTTGACTTTGGTATTGTGAACTCTGGCGCATTCTATTCATTCACCCGCGGTGACAATGACACGATCACACTTGGATGTGCATATCCGAAAGTTAGCAGAGAGTAATTAAAGAGTAGAGACATAAGTCGCGATTGTTCTCAAATTTGGTTGAGTAAAGGCACAGCTTCTAGAACCCTTTTAAGTTAACCTACGGGGCGCAGAGCTGCCTCAAATTCACTGGAGAAACCAACGGCGGGGACCCGTCGAAGGCAACCCTGGTGAGCTTCTGTGCAGTGAGCTCCGTGGGATGGACGAAGTCCCAGAAGACGTGGTTGCTCCTGTTGGGGCAGAGCGAGCTCAACGGGGTGCAACCGAACATGGCGTTGTCACTCCCTAGACCACAGCAGGCGGCTTTCACTTCAGCAGATCCTGTCACCAAAAAGTCATGGTGAATCAGGTAGTTTTAATCTGAAACATCATCTGCAATTCATGACGTTTCTATTCATCAATCTTGATCGTCGTCGGTACCATTTGCTTCAAGTTCCTGGATGTACAGCAGCAACGCAGTGGATGTGTTGAAGAAGGAATACTGAAAATCCGAGTGTCGTGCGCTCAGGTCGCGCAGGAGGGAGGCGACGGCCGTGTTGTGCTCAACTGACAGAGAGTTTGCCTCTGCGTTGCATCCCTTGCTATTGTGGAGGCTCCGCTCCCGCTCCCGCAGCAACGGGATGCATCCGAGCGGCGCCGCGCCGACGAAGAACAACCTGCGCATCCCCAGAGCGTACATCCTCTGGAAAAAATATTATTCATATCTATCATGTTCATGTGTAAGGCCGTGACATGAATGAACTAATTTTAGGGCCCGTTCGGTTCCAGGAGTACTGTGGCCTGAAACCATTCTTGTCCGGTTTGCTTGCATAATTTTATATAAGTTTTGATCATCCGGATTGATTCCTGGAATCCAGAGTAACCGAATAGGGCCTTAAGGAAAAAGAAACGATTGCACGGGAAGAAACAATACAAGTTCGATCGAGATTACACCTGCAGTTGGCGTTTCAAGGACTGCGCCATTAGATCGATGAACTGCGTCGAATTCAGCGGGCCGGCGGGGTCTAACAAGACGCGATCGATTAGATGTTGCCGCCGATGGCAATGGCGAACATCGATTCGGCGAGGTGGATGGAGGCTTGAGCCTTGTCCAGCTGCCGAGACAGCGCCGCATACACGCTGTTGTAGTCGCGCTCAATTTGTTCGTCGAAGCTGATGCAGAGGCCCTTTAAATAAAACAGCAAAAGAGCTCTTACGACCATGCAGACTAGCTCATTATATTTTTGCAAGCAGCTAATAAAGTAGGTAAAGCTAACCATGTTTGTAAGGGCTAAGACTCCTGCACCGCCGGAAGCGAAGTTGACACTGTTAGTTGATCTTCACCAATAGGTCCAACGGTCTATTGGGCTCTTACCTCTGCTTCCTGATCGGGGGAGCCCAACCCTAACTGGTTGGTGGGCCCCTGTCGCACAGCACATATATAAAAGGTAAGGTGGGGATCAGGGCTCGTAACACGAGGTTCGCCGTGAGCCGCCACTCCCACCTACAGTAACCCTAAACCGATCTAAAGACCGTGCTGCCAGCGACGGGATGTGCCCCACCACCACCGTCGCGTCTGCAGGTTCTCCGCCGGCGCCACTGGACTTCTCTCCACCGCGCTGGACGACTCCTACTACACCGCGGCACCGGCGTCTACGTTGTTGTGCCGCAAAGAGAAACGTCAAGGAGGCTAACCGGATCTACGGTTACACACAGAGGTACACACATCGATACTAACAATGGTATTGGAGCAGGTTGCCTATGTGTAATCCTAACCCTAACCGGGTAAAAGAAGAAAGAAAAACCACCGCCACCGCGCGGGGAAAAGATGATAGCACCGCTGTTCTACACCGGCGCACGGCAAGAACAGAAGAGATCCGTGTTCGGATCAGAGAAGAAGAAAAGAACAAGATCCATTCGGATCAGAGAAGAAGAAGAAAAGAACAAGATCCATTCGGATCAGAGAAGGGGTTCACTAACCCTAACCCGCGCAGAAAGCTCAGGAAAGAAGAAGAGTGGGTTCGGATTTGGCCAAACCCTAAGACCTAACCCTAACTCGCATGGAGAAAGAGAAAAGGAGAAAGCCATTCGGATGAACTCCAAAAGAGAAAAGTAATCAAAGAAAAGAAACATCCAAAGAAAAGAACAAAGAAAAGGGGTGGGCACACGAACCCTAACCCCAATCGGTCAAACAAAGAAAAACAAACAAGATCTAGATCCGATTGGGGAAGAAGAAGAGAAAAGAACAAGGGTCGGAACCCTAACCCTAATCCCCACCTTCGATTCAGAAAAGAGAAGTTCAATCTAACTCGAAAAGAAGAAGGGAAGAAGAACAGGGGCTGGAATCGAACCCTAACCCTAGATCCCCTTTTCGGGTGAACAAACGAAAAGAAAAGAAATAAAAAAAACAGAAAACCGAGCCGGCCCTTCGCCGGCGCGGGAGAAGAAGACCGAGCCGGGCTCGGCAAAGGGGTCACCGCGGCCAAGCCGCTCGACGGCGACGCGCTCACCCGCTGGGGAGCGCGCACGCCGGTGAGGGGGCCAGCGGCGGTGCCATGGACGCCTTCGCTCGCTCGGTTGTGCTCGGCTGAGAAGAGAGAGCAAGGTAGAGAGAGGAGAGAGCGGCGAAGAAGAGAGAGAAAGCAAACGCTGAAATGAGCTAGGGTTTCGGACACCGGCGCGGCGTCGGTTTTTATACCGCCCGAAACGAACGCGTAGCCGTCGGATGCAGAACGAACGGCGCAGATCAACCAGGCCGCCTTTCGGCCCAGGCGGGCGAGGGCGTGAGGCCACTTTCCTCGCCCAGCCAAAGTTGCGGCTCCTGGCGGGTGAGTGAGCATGAGGAAGAAGCGCGGTATGGTTGTGGGCCGTGGGCCGTTTCAGGCCGAAACAGTAAAGAGAAAGAGCCTAGTTTCGTTTTTTTCTGGAAAATTGAATATGCAAATTGGCTCAAGAGAAAAATAGAAAAGTAATTTTTTCCCTATAGGTAAAATTCAAGAAATTGAGTAAGTACATTCTCCAGCGATTTTGAACAGACGTGATATTTAATTGGAGAAAAGAAAAGTTTTTCCAGTAAATGTTTATTTCCTGAAAATTGATTAATGGATTAAAGGAAATAGAAAAAGCAATTTTCCCCGTGGGTAAAATTCAAGGAAAAGAGAGTTTTTTCATAGCCAAAGAAATTGTTTATTCTCCAGTTAATTTGTACCAACGTTGTATTTAATTGGAGAAAAAGTGAGTTTTCTGCTGCTAAAGAAATTATTGATTCTCCAGTAATTTTGAACCAAAGTGGTATTTAATTGAAGAAAAAAGAGATTTGTCATGGATTATGATGTTGTTATTTTCTGACCAACGTTGTTAATAACAATATCGTAATTTTAATGATTTATGTATTAATTCTACTTCTGTCCAACGGTGATATAGAATTAGTGTATAAGAACAGATGTTAATTTTAATGATTTATGCATTAATTCTATTTCTGCCCAACGGTGATGTAGAATTAGTGTATGAGAACAGTTGTAAAAGTTAATGATTTATGCATTAATTATATTTCTGCCCAACGGTGATGTAGAATTAGCGTGTAAGAACAACTGTGAAAGTTAACGGTTTATGTATTGATTCTATTTCTGCTCAACGGTGATGTAGAATTAGTGTATAAGAATAGTTGTATGTTTTAATTTTGACCAACGTTGGAATCAAGGCATGCAAATGGTGTTATTTTTATGTTAACAAAAGTTTTAACCTGGTTTTCATCTTGTCTAAGGTGAACTGGGTAGTCACCTCACCGTGTTCCACTGAGTTTGTGGCACCGATGAGAGAGACAAAAGAGAATGATGCCACTTGGGTAACTAAAGAGAGGGATTTTAAATCTCAAAAGATATCATATGACTCCTTGGGCATAGGAAATGAATCACTACCAATACAAAAAAGTTTGGCTATGATAAAGAACATGATTGAACCTGCAATTGTGGGCTCAATCCTAGAATGCGACACGGTCACCGAGTACCTCGATAGAATAAAGAGTCAGTTCACTGGCTCTTCAAAGACATATGCCACTTAGCTGATAAAGCAGTTGGTCACAGAGTGTTAATCTGGAAAAGGTGGCATAAGAGAGCTCACGATGCGTTGTCGAAATTATGGCACTGTCATTTAGGCCATATTTCGAGGGGGAGAATAGAAAGACAAGTTAAGAATGATATTCTTCCTCCATTAGAGCTCTCAGATTAAGTTCAATACAGAGAATGCATAAAAGAAAAGTATATAAAGAAGATTAAGAAAGATTTACAAACGAAGCGCAGGAATCTTATAGATTATTCACACAGACATCTGTGGTCAGTTTCCTGTAAAGAGTGTGGATGGTAATGATTCGTTCATAACATTCACATATGAGTACTCCCATTATGGCTATATTTATCCAATCAAAGAAAAAAAAATGTACTAGATAAATTCAAGATATTAAAGATTAAGATAGTCAGGTCTGACCATGGAGGAGTACTGCGGTCGGCATACCCTAAAAGAATGGCATAGTAGCCCAGTATTCTATACCAGGTGAACCTCAGCAGAATAGAGTAGCTAAAAGAATCAATCGCATCCTGATGGATATGGTGGACAGTACGATAAGTTACTCCACCTTACAGTTGAGCCTGTGGATGGAGGCGTTGAAAACGGCCATTCATATTCTCAATAAAGTATCAAAAAAGTCGGTGCCCAAAACACCGTATAAGTTGTGGACAGAAAGAGTACTCTCACTAAACACTTAAGTGTGTGGGGGAGCCCTGCTGAGGCTAAAGTATTTAACCCAAACATTAGGAAACTGGATCCCAAGATAGTAAGTTGCTATTTCATTGGCTACAAAGAAAAGTCAAAAGGTTTTCGTTTCTACTATCCAGAGTGACATATAAAATTTGTGGAAACGAGACACGCTGTTTTCCTAGAGTATGGAAAGATGAGGGAGAGCATGGTAGCTCGAGAAATTGACCTTGAAGTGAAGCGGGTGTATGCGCCCACTCCAATGATTCATGAGCCATTTTTCTCACTACCTGTTATAGCTGCACCGACAGTGCTAGATACTGTGGTGCCAGCACCTGTTGTTATCCCACCTGTGGCAACAATGAATAACGATGAGGAACCTGTTCTTCAGGATTCTATAGAACCTATTGCCACACATGAGGGGGAGCAACAACAGCCTCAAACAGAAGATGTGCCAAAAATGGAGACCCCTAGAAGGTCTCAAAGAGTTAGAAAATCAGCTATTCCTGCTGATTATGATGTGTACAACACTGAGGAATTTCAAATGGAGGATGATCCCACCTCATTTGAAGAAGCCATGAGAAGTGATCATTCATCAAAGTGGCTTGAGGACATGGAAGATGAAATGAAATCAATGAATGCCAATAAAGTTTTGGACTTGGAAATAATTCCTAAATTAGCCAAAACAGTAGGCTGTAAATGGGTCTACAGAACAAAACTTGGCTCTCAAGGTAATATAGAGAAATATAAAGCGTGGCTTGTGACAAAAGGCTATATGCAAAGAGAAGGAATTGATTACAATAAGACCCTTTTCTCCAGTCTTATGTATAGTTTCCTTCAGAATCATAATGGCATTAGTGGCACATTACGATTGAGAATTACATCAGATGGATGTAAAGACGGCATTTCTCAACGGTGACTTGGAGAAAAATGTTTACATGGCACAACCGA